AACATTTAGATTCACAACAACAAGATATACAATCTCAAATAAAAGCTCAAAACTCACTAAACTCAGAAATTATAAACGAATACAACAAAACACTGCAAACTATAAACCAGAATAATCACGAGATTGCTAAGAAGATATTGACACTACACGAGAACATTGACCATTACATGGATTTAAACAGACAACATAATACCTTAAATCAAATACAAATTCTATATCACATTCTATTAAACACATTACAGGATATAGAAAATTCTATAGCATTTTGTAAATTAAAACATTACACCCCAGCATAATTTCCCCATCCGAACTATTCTTTGAACTAAATTATGCTGGGGTGTAATGTTTTAATTTACAAAATGCTATAGAATTTTATATATATATATATATATACACACACACACACACACACACACACACAGGGGATCCAAAGATTCGCAGCCGTGCTCGAGCACAATTCTTATAAATTGTTTTCTATTGTTATTACATTATTATGCAGGTTGTATATAATTCAGATTGTTATATGGTGGAATATTTTCATTTATTTACTCAGAAAGAAGCGGAAAACTGTGCATATTAGTATGTAATATATAAACTTGGCTGCTCTAAAGCAACTATTTTATGCATTTTGTTGTAAAATAATCGACTTGTTTTCCTTTCGTTTATCATTTCGGTAACAAATCCCATCAAAGTTCAATATAAAGCAACGATGTTCATAGTTGTTCTCAGGATCAAAATGTGCGAAATGTTCCCAACAACGGCATCGATTTAAATGAGTCTGTGATTTAGATGGTTAATTGTCCAAAAGGTCTTCATCACTCCCGCCTCGACAATTATTGAGAACGGCGTCGGGAATTTGTCCTGCAAATTGAGGATTTTTATCATCGCTTAAAAAGGAGCGTGAAGGCCGCGTGGCCAGTTTGTCGGCCTATGGTGCAGCCCTCCGTTCCACCCCTTTGATCGCCTTGTTAGCGACAAAGTCCACCCCATTGTTAAACAAATGTACGCGATAAAAAACATATATCGATGTTTATGAGATTTCGATCATATTATCCCTTATCATATGACGACATGGAAAATAGCAACATTAATAACATAACATACTCCATTGTGAGAAGCGCAGTTAACAGAATGAACTAATAAGGTCTTCACCACTTCGACACTCTTCAAGAAATTATATAAAAGGTAAAAAGGAAGCTAAAGAGGAGATATGTATCGACCTGCTTGTTGAACAATTCGAACAAAAGGATCTTCAGTGAGGTCACAACAGAAACAACAATTCTTTAAGTTTTTGCCGAGCTTTCGATGATTATATCGTCATCATCAGGGCCTATTTATTTTAGGAAAATATCGCAGTTAGAACATGTTATATAATTTAAAAAAACCAAATTACAAAAAAACAATTATTTATCTTACTTTAACTCGATGAGTGTTAAAATATATCTGGAGAACAAGAAAGTGCATTTATAATAAGAATAATAATAAAGAAAATAAAAATAGAGGAGGAGGTGGATAATAAACTGCCATACCTGGATCTCTTGATCATAAGAAGTGAAACGGGTCAATTAAAAACAAATTGGTACAAGAAGCCAATAAGTCAGGATAGATATTTCGATTTCAATTCATCACATTCGTTGTCATTAAAAATAAATTGCGCCAAGTACCTGATAGGCAGGGTGTTTGGCCTTAGTAACGTCGAATTCTTAGAAGAAAATATTAAGACCATTGACAATGTACTTAGAAAAAAACTACTACCCGGGGGCACTAATTAAACAACTTATTACTGAATTCAAAAATGGTCAAAACATTGGTAATAAGGTCAAAAAATCAAGTAATGTTAATAAAATACCAAACCCTTGTGTGACGATTATACCAGTGACTGAAATGGAGAACAATGGTCTGAAATCCCTTCATTTTAAATCTATCACTTACATACCTGATGTGTCCACAGAAAATCAAAGGTTTGTTCAAATGTAAAATTGGGGACTTGGGAATTGCTTACATATATAAAAACAATTTAAATATTCTGCATGCGAAGCTGAAAGCAAAGGAACCAATGGGCTAGCAATGCAATGTGTTTTATCGGGTATCATGTGGGGGTTGTAATATGCAGTATGTGGGACAAACCAAACAAAAGTTATCAGCACGGATGAACCAACACGGGTTGGATTGTGAGAACAAAAAAATAATTTCTGGACTCACAATCCATGCAATTGACAGTGGTCATTTTTTCAAGTTTGATTCACCAAAGGTCTTGACGAGGGAATCAAACTTGGAAAGGAGAATACTGGCCGAAAAGGTATATATATATTTATCAGTGTTACGCCAAGTACGTGCAATGTGCAAACAGATAGATTGGGCTCCATTTCGGTTTATGATGGTCTCCTAAACACATGCAGGGTTTTGAATAAAAAGTGGGAACAGAGAGTGCAGCCCTAGAGGCTAAATTGGTAAACTAGCCACTCAGGCCTTGAACGAGTCCGTAGATCACATGTAACGAAAAAAGCCACCTGAGCCTCATGTCTATCCCTTGTGGTAGAAGTTAGCACTTTTATTTTTGAGTTATCTAAATATAGTACAATTTAAAAAAGGTTAACTAATGTTAACTGTGATATTCTACTGTACCTGAGGAAAAAAAATAATTTTATTATTTATTTTAAGAAGAAGAGACGTGTACTTATAGTTATGTGTAACCGAGGTAACCTATAGGACCACGTTGTGGTTTTAAATAATTTTTAAAATTTTTAAATTATATTGTTTTATTGTTTTTAATTAACTCCATACGGTTCATTGTTTAGGTACTGAGCTTCATCTAATTTTAATTAATCTTATTATAAATTACAATTAATTAAGGTTTTTAGTTGAGATTAAAAAGTCAATGGCACGAGCGGGATTCGAACCCATGATCTTCGGCTTGAGCTATCTGCCGCTGCTCTACCACTTGAGCTATCGTGACCTCATGACAAGAATCACCAAGAAGAATAAGGGATAACTGAAAATGTCCTCAGTTGGTGCGAAGGCTTATAGGCTGATATTCCTGCTCCTGGCAGGATAATACACACAGGACTCCTTGAAAAAGCTTTGGGATATGAAAAATGACTTAAGCTTAAGAGCTCTCGACAACACAGGAGGTGCCCAATAGACAGGCTGGTCGTAAATTCCTATTGTAATCAATTTATCTAGAAAATTAAATGAAGACATTGAGTCTCTCTACACTTGCGGGTTTTGGATGCTAATCAAACGCGTTTAGGTTTTTGCGCAATCTTCAGTGATGACCTGTCAGGAACGACAATCTAAGGGTTTATGACTCAACATTTCACCATCGGCTCTCAAACATTACACATGCTAATAAATGCATTCAATCTCAACACATACAATAAGAACAATGTACGCGATGAAGAACGATGACGCGTCTTGATGAGTTTAAATAAATAAGCGAGAGAAAACTCTTTGAGTTTTATAGTAAAAGAAATGGAAATTGTCAAGTCAGAAAGAGTTGTTGGTGGATCTACAGATCAGTCATGTTGAGTCGGAAAGTGATCCTTATTTATTAAAAACGGTAAGAGGATTATGCATGTGTTCGAACACTTTAGAAAGGATATTGTCTATACTTGACCATTTTGATCACCTTTATTTTCGAAAAACATGATTCCACTAACCTAGGAAAAAGGAAAACTACGAAAAATATAAACACCCATGGAAAAAGTGATTCAATATTCTCGCAGAAGAGAGCACTTTCCATTGATGACGTCGGTTATCATCGAAAGCTATTAAATGCCGATTGTTGAGGCTTAAGCGGCAGATGTAACGGTGCTTTGAGTTGATTGGATCAAGTTTTAGATTTGTGTCAAAGGTCTTGGCAAAACTAATCTCAGGTCCGTCGTGATTGAGGGCACAAATGGCTCTTGTACGGGCCATTATCGAAATCGGCAAGTCGACGGCTGACGCAGAGACAAAACGGCGTTCTCTACAACAACTTAACATCTCTTTATGTAAATAATTTGTGTGCCCGACAGAGCGAAAGAATAAAGCTCTTCCCCTTAGAGGAAATGTGATTGCGACGGTGGCAAGGCTCTTTGGATAAATCTACTGTCTGAAAGCTTTTGATGCCCCTTGTATCACTATATTTGTAATTTCCGGTGAGAAAAAGCGATGGACTTTGGAAAAAATCTGATCATAATAAAATCACTTTACCATAAAACATTCATAATGATTTAAACTTACTAACAATAGGTGGATGACCAAAGTCAACAGTTACAACGAAAGCCTAAATAACCGGTAATAAATCTTAAAAGAAAGCAAGTTAAGCTTGAAATTATTTTGATATCAGCCTTTAATATTATGATTTATTATGCCATTGGCACGAAAAAGAAAATGTTTTTCTAAAACCTAAGACACCAGACCGCATTTCACGATCTCCGAATAATCATTGACTAACGGTCACTAAACACCACACACTTTAATATTATAATTTTTTAGTAACAAAATCAGGATATGGCTAATTTGATAGAAAAGAACCTTAAAAGCCCGCGTATGTGTCCGGCATGTAGAGGACCCACTTAATTGAGGGTGTCATTCCTTGGTACCATATAGAGAGCGATATGCCACCTGATGTGAAAATTGTGCTTCTCACGGCAGGGATTTTGTTCCCCTATTCCAATTTTTGGTGGAATCAGAACTAGTTTTTTTTAACATACTACTTAATGAATTCGATTTGTGTATATTGAAAGTGAATGCATTTATTAGCGTGTGATGTGAAGGGGCAGATGGTGAAATATTGAGTCATAAACCCTTACATTGTCGTTCCTGGCAGTTTCCCACTGAAAAGCGAAACGCGTTTGAGTAACATCAAAACACCCGCGAGTGTAGACAGACTCAATGTCTTTATTTTATTTTCTAGATAGATAGATTACAGTAGGAATTTACGTCCTGCATACGGCGACCACTATTGTGCATCTCCTATGTTGTCTAGAGCTTATTAAGCTTAAGATTTTTTTCAGATCCTTTTGCTGCTGCTTGGGATGCTTTTTCAAGAACTCCCGAGTGTATCCTCCCAAGAGAAGGAATCGCAGCCTACATAAGACTTCGCACCAACAAAGGACATGTTCTGCAGTCTCTTATATATTTTCTTGCCATATCGGCTCAGGCTTGTTTCCGCCCTTGGTTCCTCTCAGGATATATGTAACAATGTTAAATGATAAAATCGTTTTGTAACTCACTACATATTATATATAATTTGTACAGATGATGATTAAATTACTAAAAAGATACTAATAATAAATGTAGTTCCCTGTTTCAGTTCTTTGACAGCATATTTTTGCTTTTAGCAGCAAATTACCACCGACATTCATTATTGTGAATGTTTCATCGAAATGTGTTCAGTAGTTTCCGTATTTATCATTAACACACATAGGAACAGTCATTTTATGTGTGTCCTTTTCAGATGTCCCGGCTGAATTTCTCTTGAACCAATGACGTTAACCAAAAATAAAAAATACGTGTTTAATAGACTAGTTTCAAATTTTTACTTTTTTTGGATAAAAATTATGAAGGGTACCTCAGGGCCAATTCAGCATCCAAATTTCAAATACGACCCTGTACATCCTGTCATATCGGATATGTTAAAGGATTTTTGACGCTGAAAACAATGGTAGAATCGGATTTTAAATCGGGCAAAAAATGACAAAGTTATGGCAAAGATTTTTGAAAAAAAAAACACGAATTATGTGAAAAATGTTTCGTTGTTAATTCCATTAATTTGCTTCTTCACTAAAGTAACCGTTAATTGCCTTTTTTGTTTACATTCTATCTCGCGTTATGAGAGCAAATCTTAATTCCTGGAAGTAAATACATTTTACAATAGTACCTATACGTTACATTCAGTATTTCATTCAAATTGAACCGAAGTGCACATTTTTCTGATTAACAACGAGTTGACATATTCGACTTCTTTATTGGTAGTGGTGGTATTGTGCGATATGCAGTCGAGTTGCACACCCAGAAATTTCCTGATTTCCCCAGAGTAAACTACAAAACGTTTATTCGTGTGGCCCGCAATATGAGGTGATACGGATCAGTTAGTTAATAATAAGTTATGGTAAAAGTTTGGAAAAAAACAGCTATTTGGTTTACTATTTATTAATCACACTTCATGTTTGAACTGCCTTGATGATCTTCATATATTTATGTACATATATATATATATATATATAAAACGGACATGAGGTTCCCGAGAACTCTTCGTCACAAGACAAGAGGATCATTAACGTCCGCACCTGGCCTATTCGGCCTTATCGGACGTTTTGATTCTCAAGATGAGAGCTGACGCACCTCCGCATACGACGGAATGGTGTTACCGCCGCAGCATTGGTGTAGAGGTGCCCCAGCCCCTAAGAGCCAAGACAACCTCGCTCTCTGCTTGTCCACTCCGAATGGTCGGGCCCCCATTGTGCATCGGGTCGTATGCCGCACGCAAAGGGCTAACAGTCCGAAATACATCAGCCTGTTCTCCCGCGTACTCCCTAGATAGAGAAAGCGACACTATCTCCCAGAGTATTGGGGCTTCCCATAGCGTAGAAACTACCGGATCCGCCCCGGCCGCGGTTTTGTTTTTAGTGGAATTGCTAACCACCCCCTAGATGAGCACCGCCTACGGTAAAACCTCCTGTCGAGCTCATTCAACACCTGCCATGCGCATTCGAGGGACGCCATAGGCCTAGCTTAGCTAGTCCCATCCTTCGCTCCCCCAAGGGTACCACGCCGGTCATACGCACAACAATGCAAAGCATACTCGAGTCAGAGCAACCGATTCACTACCCGTTTCCATTCGCTTACTCACGCATTCGAGGGACTATTCAGCATAATCATCGCGTCCACAACGCCTATACGCTGTCGTCCGGTCAAACGTCTCCGGTGAGGCCGGAGGTAATAACGCTAGCCACGAAGGTAACAAATAGAAGACAGGCTCTGTCTAAATTCCCCCGCCGGGGGCGTCACCACGTACCACCACGAATCCGTTTCCGGTGTAACTAGGGCTGAATTTGGAAGGTTCAGTTACCCCGTGGTACAGATGGCCATACACCCTCCCCTGTCTATGCAGACAGGATCTGGTGCACTGGCCCTCGTGTCACTCTGCTAAGGCACCCGCCGCCCATGCCGACCCTTGGCCGACACGAGTACAGCTTGTGCTTTAGAGAGGTTACCACGCCCTCTGGGCTACACCTTTATTTTGTGCCCGGATACCCCCCTTGCAACCACGGGTTGGGAGGGGACACATGATAGAATGAAGGAACTCGGATTGAGAAAAGGGCCGTGGATGTGAACACGAGGTGAGCCGTTTCGGGGTCTCGAGCCTCAAACCACACTATACCACCCGTCGTTGCCGCAGCTCCACACATAGTGGGCTACGACTCCCAGGGTGGGTGAGACGAGATGACCGTTCAAGAGCTGAACAAGTCGGCCCTATCCCAGCCAGTCGTCTCGGGGGGATGAATCCGAGTCTGCGAGACCTCTCTCGCAGGTCGGATTGGGAATCTCAATCGCAAGTATCCATTCTTCACAAATAGTGCGCTCGTGGTGGGTGACCGGTTCCTCAGGCTTTCGCAGTTTCCCTTTCGGTTCCCTGCTACTCCCCGAAGGCCGAGTGTCGCTCACACCTGGGCTTGAGAGACTCTTCCTCAGGGATTCGAGCTCTGAATCGCACATTGAGGCATTGTGTTCTCGAGTACTCATCGTCAACAAGACAAGAGGATCTTTAGCGTCCGTACCTGGCACACGGCCTTATCGAACGTTTTGATTCTCAAGATGAGAGCTGACGCTCTTCTGCATACGACGGAATGGTGTTACCGCCGGAGCATTGGTGTAGAGGTTTCCCAGCCCCTAAGGGCCAGTACAACCACGCTCTCCGCTTGTCCACTCCGAATGGTCGGGCCCGCATTGTTCATCGGGTCGTATGCCGCACGCGAGGCGCTAACAGGCCGAAATACATCCCCCCGCGTACTCCCTAGAAAGAGAAGGCCACTCTATCTCTCTCTGAGTCTAGAGGCAGGGGGCACATTGAGGCAGGGGGGAGGTGTTCCATTTCTCCCCCGGCGTCAGAATCGGGAACAGCCGAACAGTCGAACTCAGATAACAAGTTACGCCTTTCGCTAGCCTGAGACCCAGAGCAGCCAGATAGCGCGGAGGCACCCATCGATACTACCCGCCGTCATAGGCTCCCATTCTTCGCAAGTGTTCCTCATGGGCCCGAAAACCCAACAAGCCTCGCAGGTTCCCCTAGGTGCCTGCTACTACTCAAGGGTTATTCCAACACCCACTCGGAAGCTTGTAGAGTCTTTCCCACACGAGTTCGGTGAGTTGAGGATTTGTTAATCAGTTGAATAATCCACGATGGTTGCCCTTTGGTGAGCGACGGGGACCCCAGGATTTCACAAGGTCACCCCTACGGGGGCCCGTTATTTTCCCAGGACCAACCGCCGCCCAGAGCCAAGAGACAGTCCTCCACCACCAAGCCATGACTACATTGGAGTATTAATAGGAGAGCGGTATGTACTCTCTTCCGTCTTTATCAACTCTCGGCGTGCGACCACAACCCTCAAGCCCTCGCAGGAAAGCCATTACGGCCAGCCACTACTACCTCAAGAGCCACAGAACGCCCACTCGAGAGTCAATTCTTCCCTTTTGCAGGCCTTGGGCCCGCACTGGAAGTATTTCTTTGCGGTTTCCATTTGGTTTCATTCTCCTTTGCAGCCAGACCGGCGATGAAGTTTTATGAATGGAAGAATCGAGATCCCTTAATATTATTCCCGCTCGCTCGACATCATTCTTTAAGGGCTGAACACAAGAGGTAACTCCTCTTCTGCGTTATCCCACTGAAACTCCAAAAGGCAACTCCCCGCCGACTTATTCGCTCTCAGTATCACCTCTGAGAGCTATTCCTCAGCGTAGAAATAAATAATTAGAAATGTTTATTCAGTCCTTATTGATTTAAAGAGAGCATTAGATAGTGTAGAATAGAATAGAAATGCTTTTTATTTCTTTTCCTCAAAATAACAACATACAAATATGAACTGTACAAAAAGCGTAAACACATTTGAGATAGCATTTGATAGTGTTAACCACACTAAACTATGGTACAAACTTTATAATTTTGGAATTAGCCAAAAATTACTACAGATTAGGTTTTTGTATGATAATGCTGTTATGTTCGTACACGGAAGGATCCCAAGGTATCTGAATGTGTGTTACAGGGTGAAGCTTTACGCCCCTTATTATTTTCTCCATTCTTGTCCGGCATCGCTCAACTCTTCACTAACTCCATTGGATTACCATTACCTCGGGGTAGAGATTTACATTTATTGATGTACGCTTATTACTTTTTGTTACAATCACCTTCTCGGAATGAAACGCAAGAAAAGGTAAATTTACTTAATAAATACTTTGCAGATAACTTTTTAACTGTTAATATCAACAAAACAATGTCTATGGTAACCATTAGATCTGGGCAATCCGATGAAGAAAGTTTGGATGTATGGAAGTGATTCTATAGCATTTCTTAAAAAAAAAAATAATAATAATAATAATAATTGTCTGGGTGAATCGTTTTCATCGTCAGCAAATTTCTCACTGGCCAGTATATAATTCTTGGGGAAAAGCACTGTAGCGACCCACTGTTATGAAAAGCGTGTAAAAGTGATAATTGGGATTCAAAGTGCCTCTTGAACGACTCTATCTCGGAAAGAGTGCTACTGTATACGTCGGAGATTTTGGCACCAAAATACACTAACAAAATTGAAAGAGGAAGCTGAAATTTTTTAAACAAATTTTACATTTCCCAAGGAGCATTCCCGACGTCAGACTAGAATGTGGAAGGGTCCATTGAAAATTTAAAGTGTTGAAAAGAATGCTTGGTAGGTGGCACACAATTTTAAGAATGTCGGACCATCACATTACCAAGCGATGTTATCTAAATTCCTTTGAGTTAATAGTTAATATTAAAATCTGACTTGTTTTAGATTAAATTTTTTATCGAAATATTTTTTTCATTCTGACTTAGAAAACGTAATATTATTATTAATAGTCTTAAATTCTGCTGCTTGAAAAACAAAATAAATGTGCCATTTCTATGTTTTGGATAGAAAGTTTCAGATTAAAAGTCTCCTCACAACAT